AGTCTCAGTAGCCTAAGACAGCTGAGGTTTCTTGTTCACTTAAATCCTGCCTGGCATGAGGATGGAGTGCAAACTACTCCTACACAGTACTAGGGACCCAGGCTGGCAGATGCTGTGCCATCTTCATTTAGTACTGCTTTCAAGCACCCCTCATTGTGGACAGAGGACAATAAGCTGGGGGTCCAGGTTGGATGGACAGTGTCTATTCTGTTGGCAAGCACTGTAAATGGCACATGCCATTTTGCACATTTTTAGTGGTGACATCTCACTGCAGGAGAGACTGTGAGACACAAATAAGCCATGTACCTGGGGGTTGGGAAGCAGGTTTTAGGAGCAGCAAGTCAGCCCCTGCCATGGAAGACAGCACCTGCCTGGTAGAGAACATGAAATGGCTTTGGATTTTAATTACACTACAGGTATTAAAGTACTTTGAAGTATCAATGTTGCCATATAAAGTATGGAGTAGTTGGTAATATATTAATAATTATTCATTATTTGTAAGCTACAAATTTATTTAATACTTAATATATGCTCTGGACATGGACAATTGAGCAGATGGACACAAATTTGAGCCTCTGTTCTTATAGGGATGTTGCAATGTAGATATCCCCCAAAGCCTCAGTGTCTGGAGTCAGGGCTTCTAGGAAGTGACTGGACCATGGAGGTGCTAGACTTGACCTGCTTTTGGAAGTTGGACTGGCATTGTCATGAGGACTTTATGAGGATTATGTCTTTAATCTTTTGTCTGGACTGGCTGGAGGCAGGTCACTGGGAGCATGATCTGGAAGGGTGCATTTTTTTGTTTTGGTTTGGTTTTTGGTTTTTAAGTTTTATTGAGACAAGCTCTTGCTGTATAGTTCAAGGCTGGCCTGGAACTCATTATATAGGCAGGCTGACCTACAATTCACAGTGATCCTCCTGTCTCAGCCTCCCTGGTGTTGGGATTACAGGAATGCCATAGCTGATATGCCACCATATCAGCTCTGAAAAAGTGTATCCTTGTCCCTGGATCTTCTCCTCTCTTTCTCTTTGTTTCCTGGACTGCCATGAGATGACCACTTTTTCCTCTGCCAGACCCCTCTGCCATCCTTTGTCTGCTTTTGAACCAGTATACCATAAACTGAAACCATGAGCCAAAATAAATCTGTCTTCCTCTAAATTGTAAGTGTTGGGTATTTGGTTCCATGACAGGAAAGAGACTAAGACTAAGGTCTTTTTACTCAAGTGTGGGCCTCGGACTAACAGTGACAGCATTCCTTGGAGATGCATCAGAAATGTGGATGGTCAGCCCCTACCCAAGAGGCACGTGGTCAGAATCTGCATCTTTACAAGAGCTAAGGTGGCTCATGTGCCCATTTCATGAATATTCTAGTGGGGAGAAATGAGAATGTTGGTACATCAGCCCTGGTTACTTGGTGATAATTAGTGACAGCTGAAGTTACCAAGGCAGATGTGCCCTGGGTCCACCACTGGCTGTGAACATCATCCTGGGCAAGTTACTAATTAAGTCTTGGTTACTCAAGTTGATATGTTAATGGTGCTTCTTGGGGTTTTCCAATGAGACAAAAGATTAAAGACATAATCCTCATAAAGTCCTCATGACAGTGCCTGGTATACTGTTTGTGTTTAATTCATATTCACTGGCACCAATCTCTATTATTTCCACCACAGTTGATCCCTTTACCTTCCATAAGCCAAGCTCAGCACAGGGATAGGAATACAGGACTTGTGTGTCACTGCTTCCTTTTCCACTGTCCATGGCAGGCATTGCTAGTCAAGAAAGAACATCTTTCTCCCAGAGCCTACACTTGTCCTAGAATGTGTCTCCACAAGGCTGCAGATAGCTATAACTAATGAACTGAAGCAGGTATGCAAGATAAAAACAATTTTCAATCTCTGATTGGTTTGGGCATTCCCACAGACCAGCTTTTCCCTTGCTCTCTACAACACTGATATTCCTACTAGACATTGATATAGGGACAAAGAAAAAGAGAAAGGCAAAGATCACAGGCAACGTCTAGTCTGGAAGAGGATGAGAACTGTGACATTAACAATCAAGGAGCTTAGGAAAGAGGAATGTGCTCAACTAGGGGCCTGTTAAATCTGGGGGGCCTTTAAGATACCTAAGAGGAAATACTCAGAAGTTAACTGAAAGTGAAGATCTGGATTTGGGAGAAACAAAGACGTAGCCACCATCAATGCCACACACAGCTGATAATTCAACAACTGTTCTTCCTCACTGCTGGCTATTATACTCCACTTTTCTTCACATAAAAAGGGGTCATGTTTGCAGCATCAGACCCTGGCACCAGTGGGTGAATTTGAATGGGCCCAATACAATAATATATAATTCCATTATCCTTGCCAGTATCTAAGATTGGAAATATAATTCAATTCAGACACAGGCATGGTAGGAGAGGACAGTAAGGAGAATTCTAGAAAAGTGATCTTTATTTTTTAAAAGAAATGAAAAGGACATCTCTTTGTCTGCCTCTACGTGTGACTCTGTGAGGGCACATGACCTGACGCTGCTGCCCAAAGGCAAAACCCAGCACTCTTAGGATGGCTGAATAAGAAGATGGTCCAGTATTTGTCCAGTGTCAGAAAGGACCTTAGGATTTTTTTGCTGTGTGATAATCAATGTTCTTCTCATCTAAGTTAGCTGAGTCCAATATTTATTGCACAAGTGCTCCCACCAATTAGCCATCTCTGGTGGACAAATATCTATATGGCAGAAGTGACCAGAAAAGCCACTGGGGTGTGTGTAGAACTCAAGAGAGTTGCAGGAGCAGGAAGTAGGCGATGAGGAAGGCCCAGAGCATGGAGAACAAGGAGACAGGGAGGGCAGGAAGAGAATTAGAAGACAGGAAGACACGAAATTAAGGAAATAAAGAGGCTTGAGAAAAAAACCCATAATAAACAGAAAAAACTTGTGTACAGAAGTAAAAACAAAGGAGATCTGCACCAATAGGGTGGTGCCCCGGTCCCCTCAGGGCAAGGGTGTTATTTACTGGTGGACTGACTTCCTGTGTGATGGATTTGAGATCCCTGAATGGTGGCCGAGATCACCCTAGTACCCAGGACTTGTGAAAGCCCTGTGCCCAGGGCTTCTGGGATTGTGGAGTTTACAGAATGTGGCCCATTGTCAAAGCAAGTGTCCCGACACCTGGTCCTGACGCTATCTTGTGCAGACAGAACATGAAACAGTGAATTTTGTTTATCAGCTGTAACTTGGAAGTCACTGTGTTGTACCCTTGTTGCCAGTCCTGGGAACAGCCCCCAGCTTCCCCGTCCTGATCCTCCTCCTTCCTTCCTCCTTGGCCCTTTGCTGTCTGGTTTGCTGTCTCCCTAGCCTCCTCTGGCGTGAATCTCTTCCTCCTTAGCCCATCTCCACCGGTTGGAGCCTTCTTCTGTGTTGCAGCGCTGTAGCCTCTGCCAGGAAGCCCTCCCCAGCCCCTCCCCCAAGGTGGAAGTCGTTGCTAGCACCTCGGAGCCCTCATCCTCCTGTGCTGGAGCCCTGGTCCTGAGCACTAGGAGGAAGCTCTCGGGGCACGTGTGGTTTCCTGGGAGACAAACTCACACCCACAGAAACACATTCAAACACAAAGGTGCTGAAAGTCTGTGCCACAAGGGGAGGCAGGTGGCGAGAAGGGATGGGGCCAGTCCTCTCCTCCATCCACGAACCTGCCCGTTCCCCACCTTCTGGGCAGAAGTGACTCCAGAGGCCTCTGGATAGATGCCCACCTGCTCTCTGTCAGCCTCTCCTCCTCTTGGCCTCTCGCCTGGGCTCTGGGCCCAGTGCCTGGCCACTCTGTCTTACCACTCTTTTCTTGTCATCTTATCTGTCATTGTTCCTTCCTCTGCCACCCATCGCTCTCAGACACTGTCCTTGTCCTTCTTCACGTCTTGCTTGATCCCTCCATCTGTCTCCCTGACCGACACAAGACCCTCTGAGAAAACAGGCAGGCTTCCTGGCAAAGCAGTGAAAGGTGTTACCAGCTCCTGGGGATCTGGAAAACTGACCCAAAGGAAAAAATATTCAAGACTGTATTTGAGCAGCTATGCACTGCAGAATTTACTGCAATCTGGAAAGAAACCTGAAATACATGTCCCTACTCTTGTCTTAAGCCAATGGCCTCCATTTTTTATGCCTCTCAATTAAAAGAAAATGCCTGAACAGTGTACACAAATCTATTGATTTATAAGTCATACATCAAATCAACTGTGCAAAAGAATGCTAGTTGGTTCCCAATATCCTAGTTCCCTTCTTTCACAGTATTAACCAATTTTTGCTGGGCACATGTTATCCAAAATCAAGGCTGGTTTTCCATGACTGACTGGCTGTGTATGACCCTTTGGTACATTCTGGTCAAGGAGATTTGAGCAGAAGTATTGATTGTATCCTGAGTCCTTTCCTTCAGGCTTTCCCAGGGGCAAAGCTTCATAGGGTAAGGAAAAGGATGTGTAGAACAAGGAGCAAGGAAGGAAGAAAGAGCAACCTTCATCCCTGAGCAATTGACAGAGCGCAAGCCATCCCAGTCTCACCATCTGCCGCGCACACTGCTCTCCAGTTGGAGTCCTACCCTGCCACAGAATCCAGATTTTGATTATAACTTTAATGCCAACATTGTACACACAGCACAAAACACATAAAATACCATCTATTAAGGGCATAAGGCTGTTTGTTGGTTTGTTGTCTGAGACAGAGCCTGGCTAGGTAATTCAGAATGCCCTGGAATTCACCATACAGCCCAGGCTGGCCTTGAACTCACAGTGATGCTCCTGCCTCAACCTCTTGAGTGCTGGGATTACAGGCATGCACCACTATACCCAGCTAAGTCATGGTATTTTTAATGTAAGATTTGATTTTAGAATAATTTCAGGTGTCCAAAGCAGTTGTAAGGACAATATACACAGTTTCCGTATGTCCACATCCCATTTTCCCTAATATTAATAGCTTACATTACTATGGCACCTTTGCCACAACTGATGAGCCAACATCAATGCCTTATTCTTAACAAAAGCCTCTGGCTTACAATGATCCTTTAAAAATCAACAGAAGTTTATTTTCTTCCTAACTCCATGCACCCTTTGTACCCCATGGAGTAGACCACTGGCTGCGACACTCCAACCTCTACATCGGGCCTGAAGGTCTTCTTCCTCACCACACAGCAAGGAAAGTGGCTTGGGAGAGGACGGTGGGTGAAGGGAGGCCAAACTTTCCATAGTGGAATCTAATGTGCCTGCATTTCGAGCAGGTGCTAAGAAACGGTGGCTAGTATTGGCAAAGAGGAGCTCTGAGAGCCCCTTGAAGTTGGATCCAGGGAAATCCAGTGTTGTTAGGAGGACCATGGGCTGTGGGAAGACGATTCTGTCATTTCCTATGTTCAGGTGTCAGGAGTGGGGATGAGCAGGCCAGGTGGGGGTGGCAGTGGAGTGGAATCTGCTTGGCATTGTGAATGTCAATGGGGAAGTCACAGGAGCAAGGCTAACAATCATGGTGGTAGGTATCTGTCCTTGTCACAAAACCGGCTTGCATTTCCCCAAGTCCAAGGCTCTGTGTTCCAGTGGGTTCCCCACAGCCTTTCATTCCACTAGTGAGGTTTCTCTGGACCCTTGGGAGCTCATGTACCTCTGGTAGAAGGCCATAATGCTGAAGAAAATTCACAGCCAGTCTACCTTTCCAGGATGGGCCAGGAGATGAGTTCTGGGAAGAATCGATGCCTTTTCCACACTGCCTACTCATGACCATACTCCCTGAGTCTACTGCATACCCTTTACTGTAAGCCTCTGTTCTGATGCTGATTTCCAGCAAGAAACAAGCAGACAGATTCCAGTGGCTGTGCAGGGCAGATGTCTATGGGCCGAAGGAGTCCAGGAAGCAGAGCTCTGGGGTTTTCTGCTTTTCCTCATTTGGAGAGAAATGAGTGCTGAGAGTTGTGTCCCACAGTACAGCACTGTGGCCACAGTGTGGGCCTATTTCATAGGAGCAGAGACATAGAGAACAGGGAAGTCACCATAAGTCACAGGAGGTAGGAACAAAAACTCTCATCGCATGGTACTGAACAACTTGTTTACTTGTTCAGCCTTCAGGCACCCTCAAGGATGGAGGGTGGGTCTTGTTCCTTTGTATCCCCACGTCTGCTCAATGTCTGGCATGCAACAGGTGCTCAGTAAATGTTCCAAATGAATTGTCCCTTCAGCCACCAATTCCTTCATCACAGCAGAACCAGCTGGAGCCTAAGTATCCCAAGCCTTGGATCTTAGCCTTCTTTCCACCACATCAAATTGCTTCTGAACCTTGGTCCAGCTACATTTTGGCTCTGCCAGGTACCTTAACTCTCCATCTCAATATCAACCATGTCCACCCTCTCCTCTGAGAGTTCCACTCTGCTGGTTAAAGTCAGGGCTAAGGAAGGTAGTTGCAGCTTACTGTTGTTTCTCTGCTATACTGGGTAGCATCTACCAGGCTGGGTTTCTAGCTCTGGAGAGAGTTTGATTCAAACACACAACTCTTCCTACGTCCATAGTTGCCTAGAGAATAAATTCCATTGAGTGAGAACATCTCGAATGGACCATCTTTCTTTGAGCTTAATAAGACCATTAATGTGCAAGGGGGAGTTACTGGACCCTGAGAACATAAGATTGGGCAAGGATCATGTGAATAGTTTGCTTGCCAGAGGAAGCTCTCTTGAGAAGCTTACAAGTGGGGTTAGGAAAAGCTAGCTAAGGACATCCAGGCACCCCAGTAAGCAGGAGGACTGAGTTTTGGATTCACAGGCAGCTCAATGAAGAGGGAACAGGTTAAACTCCTCTCTGTGAAGTCACCACTCTTTCTTTTCCCATCTCAATACCACATGGCTCTGCTCTCTCTCCACTCCAAAGGCAGTAGTGATAGTATATACAAGGCTACAGACATGCAGGCCTTCTGCTGTAGTTAGAGATTGTGCAGAAAACAATTAGAATCAGGACACAGAGTTTATAATATTATTTTATAATGGTCACCAGGAGTTAACACAAGAAAATGCAGGAAATCTATCCACAACAACAAAGACATAGAATATTTAGCCAAAAGCTTGAATCCCATAGCAATGTCTCATATGAGTCCAGATGAAAACCCAGAGCTCATGACAATGCCTCCCACGAGTCCAACTAGAGGTCCAGAGCGCACAAGAAGGACTCACGCCAGTGTCTTTTACGGCATCCATGCCGGGAAGGCCCAAAGGTCAGCGGTGGAAGCCAGAAAGTTCATGCCAGCGGGTTGAATGAGCTGTGCTGGTAGGTTGAGAATTCTATGCTGGAGCTAAGAAGCCACACTCATAATGAAGACCAGGGCTGTCCTGAAAAGCACCACAGCCATCCTCAGCAACACGGAGCCCCCGAGCTCCTCCTCCGACAAGCACAGTCGGTTACATGCCAGGAACCAGCGTGAGTAGTTCATCCTGGAGACCAAGCAGCACATGTCTTCCCCTCTGGAACCAGGAAGCAATGCTTGATGTGAGGACCAGAGCTCCTCCAGGAGAACCAATGACTCAAACAGCAACATGAAGGAGAACCCACAATGCCTCAACACCTCAACACAATAGCACATTAACGCCTTTCTTCTCCTCTATCTCTCTATTTATGCTGGCAACTTTCCGCAGGTGGACATCTTCACTCAGTGCCATGCTGATGTAATCCAGCTGGTGTTAAATTGACCATCAGTTCTTAATCCATAACACCTTCTGTTAGAGTTTAAATCTAGAATGTTCTCCAAACGTGTTTAGAGGGGGATTAATCCACTGATGAGTTCGTGTCGTAGTGTGCTGTTCAGAGGCTGGTGGGTCACTGCAGGGTGTATTCTTTTCTTCAACGCCTTCTTTCCCTCTCTGCTTCCTGGCTGACGTGGATTGTACAGATTTTCTCTGCCATTCTCCTCCGCACTGCCATTTTTACCTTGGAACCAATCAACCATGGACTGAACCCACTGGAAACTGAGACAAATTAAATCTGTCCACCTTTAGGTTGTGAGTATCAGGTATTTTGTCCCAGTGATGGGAAAGTGACTCATCTACCTTTCATTTTTGAAATCCTCTTCAATACTTTTACAAAGGCATGTTTTAAATTTCCTACACTAAACTTTACTTTTAATCCAGGTAGAAATAAAGCATATATATTTTGTAGTCATGGTAAACCATCTCTGGCACTAATGAATGGTTTATTAAAGGAATGTCTATAGTTGTGTGAAAGGGCCTTTCCAAGCAGTTCATACGATATTCAGGAGGGCAGCCTAGGGTCACTGTGTCCCACCTGTCTGTGCCTTTCTGGAAAGGTCTTTAGATAGACTCTTCTGTGTGCCCCTAGAGAAGCACCTCATGACTCCCAGAAAGTCAGAGTCCTGAATCTTTAATAGAGCTGATTCCCATCAGTAGCCATCTCCCGACATGCTACATGACACCTGCTTCCCTACTTCCTGAGAATAATCCTGGGATCTTTGAATGAAAGGTGCTTGGCAGCCTTGTAAGTTTCCTAGGCAGCCCTTATTCCTAGAATCTGAACACTGGTAACCTCTGCTCCCTCCCCCAACCTTGTCCTTTAGGCTTGGAAACAGAATCATGAAATCCTTCTCCCTGTCCTTTCCAAAGTGGGTAGGGTGGATCCATTTCAGGGAAGCAGGCAGATTCCCACCACCCTGTGGAATAACACCCAGTTTCTGATTCCGAGTCAGAACTGGAATCATGAACCAGCCTGGGGGAAGCTGTGGGCTTCCTTGAGAATGGCCCACAGCCAGCACACCCTCCACGCCACATACACGCTCTGGTCCTCCACACTGTCCTAAGGAAAAACAGCACAGAATCAGAGAGAGCCATAGACCAAGACCATTTGGCTGTGGAGAACTGAATGACTGTTTCCTGCAGTTGACTTTCCTGGATTTACTGATATTAGAATCCAGGCATTCCCATGATAGGGATGGAGGGAAGCCCAGTTCCAGAAAGAGCTGGCTTCAGACAAATCTCAAACAGCCCACATGGAGGTGTGTGAGAGGCTGTTCTCTGTGAATTTTGAAAATTCACAGTCTGAATGCTGTACCTGTTTAATATTTTCTCCACTTTGAAAACAAGGCCATGTTGGACATGGTGGCACACGCCTGTAATTCCAGCACTCAGGTGGCTGAGGTGGAGGATCACTGTGAGTTCGAGCCAGCCTGGGCTGCAAAGAGAGTTCAAGGCAGCCTGAACTGTATAATAAAACTGTCTCAAAAAGATTTTTTAAAAAGTGAAGACAAAGCCAATCATAAAGTCTTAGTGCTGGAGTTAAGCTCCTCTTTCTGTCACTCACATGACAGTTGGGGTAGGCAGGCTGCCTGTGAAACGTAACAGCACCTTGGTTCATCCAAACTTAGAGTTATGTACACCTGTGCCCAAAGCCAGACTATTCACACAGGTCTCTTTCCCAGCAGCTCTGCCCCAGAAAGAGATCTACTCAGCTGCTATTTTGAACACCTGCTGACTGTGTCATTGTGTATGTGTCACTGTCTACTCATTTCTCCATGGTTTTTTTTTGGTACCGGGAACTGAACTCAGGATCTTGCACTTACCAGGGAGGCCCTTGTGCTGCTGAGCAACATCATCGGTCTCCTGTTTCCTTTATCAACCTGAAGCCAGAAAAAAAAAAACTGAGGGCCTTTGGGTTTCTGCTTGTAAACTCCATATTAATGGCTAATGAGTGGCCTGGAACCAAATAACCTCTAACTTGCTATTTACCTACCCAGGTCACTATCTTAAGTGACCTCCAGCAAGTATCCATCGTCCAAGGCCTGACTCTGCTACATTGCAGCTCTGCCATCTTGGACAAGGAACCTAATGTCCCTCTAGAAGTGGAACCGAGGCGTGGCCAATAAGCAGGAATAAGCCTTACAACTGGTCTAATTTCTTCAAAATGTACAAAGTAAGGTAAAAACAGGGTGCAGTGAACCTCAACTTCAGGATGAAATCCTCTGATACTCCAGCCAACCTGACTAATCCTCTCTCAGTGACTAAAATTCTGCAGCTGCCACCACTTTCTTCCTTTAATTTCTTTGTTTGGCAAAAGAGGGAAGTAAAGTCATCGAGAGTTATTAGGCAAGTTGGATATGATCACTTAGGCAAAGCGTTTAGCACTTTAAAAAAAACCTTTGGAATACTCGGTAACAGCAGGTACTGTGCATGGGTTTAGAAGATCTGTGACAGTAGAACTCAGCCCCCACTCTCAAGATACTCCCCTGACTACAGCAGAGGCCCAAGGCAGTAAGGACGGTCTGATACCACAGAGGGGCTGACAGAGGATGGGAAGGCAAGGAAGTGGACTGTTACAGTGCTGGTTAAGGGAAGAAGGTCTGGAAGGTCAAGAAGCTTGAGCAAGAATCCAGAACTGAAGTCAGGGTCTCCGAGGCCGGGTGTGCGCATCAGCCAGAGGGGACACCCTGTAGAACAGGGGAAAGAAGCTAGGGGGTTAAAACTTCATGGTGCCTTCGAGGAGATAATTGAGTAAGGCAAATAAGAAGCAGTAGGCAATGAGATGAACAGAGACTTTCTAGAAAGAGTGGGAGCTTCGGAGGAAACTGCCCTTGGGCTCCAATCACGGCTCCCTCACAGCTGCTCGAACAAGTTCCGTAATCTTTTTGAAGGCCATGTGTCGAGAGGTTACAGCCACATGGTCGCCCTTGTGTTTGTCCCCACTTTCCAGAGAAGCAAAAACCATGAGCAGCTGAACCACTAGTGGAGGCCCAGATGTCTGTGAAAGAGGGACAGAGATCTGGTGAGCCCAGAGGGAAAGCGGCAGTGATGGACCTTTACACCAGGCGAGTGGGGGGAATTGAGGGAGAAGCCTTGCAAGGTATTTTGTGTATTTGTTTGCTCTTGGTGAGAATTAAAAGAAAAATATAGAAAGTAGATTATTAGCATGCATTAGCTAGCAGTGCTATTGCTCATGTTATTACTGAGTCTTCTTTGGAAGAAAACTTCCTTTCTTCCTCCTCTCAGGGTGAGAAAGTGGAGACTCTAGTGTGGTTTCAATGCATACCCCACCCCTCCCCCTCCCCTGCCCTGCCCCCACCCCCACCCCAACAATGTATTGAAAACCAAACCCCAAAATTCTTATGGTTTTTGTTTGTTTGGTACCAGAGATCAAACTCACAACCTCACACTTGCCAGGCAGGTGCTTATGCCACTGAGCTAAATCCCTGGCCCTCAGAATTCATGTTGATGGCATTTGGAGGTGGGGGTTTAAGAGATCATCAGGATTTGCTGAGATCATGAGGGAAAAGACCCCATGGAGGCCTTTTCAAAAATAAGAGGAAGAGGAGGAGGAAGGCATCCCCAAGCCAGCCTGCTACTCAGCCCTGTGATGCCTTGCACTTGTTACAATGCAGCCAGAAGCCCCACTTTGGATGACAGTACCATGCTATTGGACTTCCCAGACTCTGAAAACATAATCCAAGTAAACCTCTACTCTATAAAGTACTCAGTTGGTAACTTTCAGTTATAGCAAAGGCAAACAGAATGAGACAGGCCCAGAAAGGCAGAGTCACACTCTGAGGAAGCCTTGGGGAGAGGTTGGTAAAGCTGACACAGGTATTAGGGGTTCCTCGGGTGAGTGAAGCCATAGTCCCAGGTTCAGGATCGTGCATAGAAACTGCTGTACATTCATTCCACTTTTGAAAACCACGTTATACAGTTTAAATTGGCCTTAGCTGTTGTGTCCTGAAGGAGAGGATACAGATCCTTTTTATTAGGGGCCAGGTAGTGTCAGAGGCCAGGTCACAGTGACTTCTGCTCCAGATCTAAGAGGGTAAAACTATCCAAAGGATGAACCTGAAAATCCTAAGGCACAGAACAGAGTCACCCATCAGCCAGACCCCACTGTGGGCTCCATTTCCTGGTCCCTGCCCCACAAGCCACCCCTTCTTGGCTGTGGCCAGGCAGAAGAGACACGTGTGCCCAAGGAGTAGACCAAGAAGGCTCAGCCATATGGGTGCCTTCCTTAGGATGGAGCTCTGTGTGTGGGGGGGAGGGGGCGTAACAGGGCAACAAGAGCCTCAGGAGAGCCTGTGGTACTTTCCAGCCAACCAAGGGGCCTCCTCCACTGGCAGAAGAGCCAGCCAGGGCCTGCCTGGCTCGATAAACTCTCCTTCTGGTTTGGATGAGCGGTGGGTACCTTCTGCCCTGCTTGCTGGCCCCAGACCTCACCGGCATCCCACCCACAGTCTTTCTGAGCTTCGTCCTGGCTCCACTCAGAGCCCCCTACAAATTGCCTGAACTGGGAGTGGGCAGCAGACCCCAGGCCCTGGGCAGGCTGGCAGGAGTGGGCTCCAACTGCCTCGAACGTCTACCCTCCAGCTGTCGCTCCCCCTCCAAGCCCACTGGCATCATTTGGCAGAGAGCAGCCCCCCGCCCCCAGCCCAGGCTGGTCCAGCAGGCGTGGCTTCTGTTTCCACAGAAACTCTGACTTCCCTGGGCTTTGGAGTGGGCCAGGCAAGGAGGGACGTGGGCGGTTTCTGCCGACCATAGGCTCAGCCGGCCACACTCCTCTCTGGGCTCCAACGGCTGCTGCTGGCTCCCGGAGCCCCTCTCCTCCCACAGCTTCTGGCAGGGCGCAGCCACCGCAGCTACAGAGGCTTGGCCGATGCTGGCAGAGGAGGACGGGGCAGGCTATTGTTGCTTCCTGTTCCTCCGCTCCCTGAAATGCAGAACAACAGTCACAGTGAAGAGTTTCTTTCACTGTTTCGGACAACTTTCCAAACTTTATCTCGCTCAGTCCTGTTTCCCAATGAGGCAAGGAGCGTATTTAAGATTAACTCTTTTCAGCCAAAGGAGAAGCGAAAGCTAGTGAGAGGGAAGGAGGACCTGGGATGGCTTAGCTGGTATAGACCTCGTACAACCTTCCCCATGCCACACTGTGGCCACCACTGCCCACTCCCTACCCAACTCGCAATGCCCCAGTGTACATCTAGGGGAGGCTCCAGAAATGGCTTTGCCCTTCCGTGGCTTTGTGGCACATGGGAGCCTGGAGTCTCTTCATTCAGGAGCACAGAGGGCAGCTCAGGGACAACAGCTCTTCAAGCAGACTCGCCATGTCTGGGCATCAGAACCTACTGCTTTTCTCCCTTCCTTTCTTTTCTAGAAGGAACCCCTCCCAAGCTTACTGCACTGGGGGCTTCCCCACCAGCTCTGTCCTGCACAACACTTTTTTTTTTTTTTTTTTACCACTATGGACATGAAAACCCACAAAGAAAGATGCTTTGTCTGTGTTTTCCCAAAGAGCTGATGGGAAGCTTCAAAGGGCCAGGCACTGTAGTACACTCCTATAATCCTAGCACAAGGAGGCTGAGGCAGAAAGATGGTGAGTTTGAGGGGTCAGCTTAGGAAACTTAGTGAAATCATTTCAAAATTTAAAAAATACAATAAACAAGGATGCAGAAGGGGCTCTGTGGGAGCACATTATTGTAGTGCTTATGCTCAAACCCCTGGGGTCCGTGGCCGGCAAGTCTTGAAAAGAGAAAGGAAAGGAAAGGAAATTGGGAGAGATGAAGGCAGAGGAGGAAAAGAAGTATGGCCAGGGACAGGATTTGGGGCCTTTCCCCGTCCCTCCTGGCTGTCCGCTTGTGGACTTAGTGACACGAACCTGCTCTGAGTTCGGATGCAAATATCTCAAGCACAGCTGTACCCCCACCCTCATCCACAGCACCCTATTGCCACTGCATGCCTCTGTCTCCCTGCAGCCCCATCCCCGAACTTCCCACGTGGGGAATCTGAATCCTCATCTTAAAAATGCCAGAGAACAGATGCCTTGACACGCTCTGTCTGGTCTCTGAACTTGGGTGGATTCCACATCCTTCCCCGCGTGGAGCCTCCGTCCCTCCCCCTCGCCCTGTGTTTTTCACAGCCATCGTCTTCAGAGGAGCAGGCCGGAGGCCAACAGGCAGGAAATGAAATCAGGACGCAGATCGTTTCCCTTTCTTCCCTCTCCTCCCCTCCCTTGTCCTTCCCCAGCACCCCACGGCCCTCCTCGGGAGCGCTGCTTGTCTGTCCCCACTGTGCTGAGCAGTGCCCGTGTCCCTTTATGTGTTGTCCATCTCAGCTGTGAGCCTTCAGGGTTCTCCTCACAGCCCGAACCAGGAAAAATCCCATAATGTAGGATTTCACGGAGCTCCCGGGTTGGGGGAGGCTTTTCTTTCCATCTGTCATCTTACTCTAAGCCTTGACCTTTCTGTTCCCATGGAAGGCAGCACCAGAGAGAAGCTCAGACTGGGGACAACTATCTGGGTTTGGGCCCCAGACTGAGCTGCTAGCAAGCCACAGCAAATGGCCTGGGATTGAGACAGCATGAAAATGAGAAATTCAGGAAAATGTTGCTTCCCCCACCCAGCCCACCCCAGGGTTATAGATGAGAGGCAGAACTGGGAGTGAGGAAAGAGAATGAAGGAAAGAGGGCTTTCTGCTTTAGAAGTTCCAGGAAGGCAAAACAGCCTGAGCTCCCTGGCTGCCCATCATGGGCCGATATGCAAGGGTTTCATTTTTACCAAAGGAAAAAAGATGCTTCAGAGCTCAAAACACCAGAAATTTGAATAATGACTGCTCACCTCCTTTAAAACTGCAGCAATCTTGCAAAAAAAAAAAAAAAAAATTGTAGAACACCTTGGGCAGATTGTTCAGCATTTCTGATTCTCATTTTCCTATACTGAATGTCAGGGGTGGGTTCATAGGCCTGGATGTTCCAAGCTTGCTTCACAGATTAAGGTACTCAGCACTTGGCACAGTGCTCACAGACAGGTAGCACTTGACCAAGGTGCCTGCAAGAACCCCGAGGTGAAGCATGACTTCAGAACCTCCCAAAAGGTCCCAGTCACCAGGAAGCCCGGCCTTGGCTTCTCCTGCCCCCAAGAACGCCATACCTCTCCAAAGAGGCTTCCAACTCCCGACAAACAGCCTGTGGGAAAGTGTGTACAGGGCTTTGAGGCCACAGAAGGGACATCTTCTGGCTGACTTTCCCATGCCAGGTTGATAGGGAGACTGAAAAAAAAATCACAGTCTGCAAAGCCCCGAGACAAAATACCCACCCGAAACAGCTTTGAAAGGGCAGACCCTTCAGGATGCACAAGGATTTTGATTGTTTGAAATGTTGGTAACATTTCATCTTCCCAGAGACCTTGTTCATTTATCAGGGTTCTTAAAACGCTTTTGTTCCTAAGCTTGTAGTAAGGACAGAAAACATTCTATCTAATATCAGAGCACAGCTGTTCAGCAACCCGAAGACTTAGGGAAAAATCTCTTTAAAAAGGAAAGGAGAGAAAGACCAGGGACACAAACATGGGAAAACAACTTGGGGCAGGAAGACGGCCCCAAGGAGCAGCTGCCTTGCTGCAGTGTGGTGTTTGGGTAAGTGTGAGAAAAAGTCGGTTCTGTAAACACTATGACCAGACTTGGGCTCCTTCTCTTCAAGGATCCTGGCAATCACACACAGAAGGGGGCCCCTAAAAATGTTTGAAGTAGGTGTGGAGCCTCATGTAACATCTTCTGAAGGGCCAGTGTGGCTGTTGGAAAAAAAAAAGTCTAGTGGAAAACTTCGTCCACCCAAGGCCACAGAAGACCAGGCAATATTTTCTAAAAAGGGCTTTGATTGCTCCTGAAAGCATAAGACAGAGCAAGCAGGGGCAAGCCGAGGCGGGGACCGTGTGGCGCAAGCCCTGGGCTGTGGGAGGTGAGAACAGACAGGTCCTGGGTCTGGGACTGATTTCCAGTGTTTGATTATTTAGTTCTCTGCAACTTCACAGATGTGGATATAGGAAAATCATGTCCGTGTTTGTGAAATATTTGGATAGAAAATTTTTAAATGTGAATTTATTTTGCAATTCACGCAGAATTCTAAAAAGGAGAAAAAAAAGTCAATTGAGGGTTTTGGGGTTTGGAATTTTTTTTGGGTATTGGGGAGGGTGCAGAAAGATATCACTTTAGAGACCGGGATGGCTTCCAACTCACAATCCTCCTGCCTCAGCCTCCTGAGTCCTCTGAAT